AGTTCTAAAATTTTCCCTTCCTTTTCAATATTTTTACGTAGATCGGGCTCTACAGTTGCCAACATTAATCGAGATATATCAGTCATTGGATTCCCTTTAAAAATATTTTTTTAATTCGTACCTTACATATTTATATTTTTTAATTGGTTTTTAACTTTATTCTATTTTAGCTTACTATCTTGACTAATATTATTTCATTTATCTTCTCCAAAAAAGGTATTTAGTCAGAACGCTGAAACCGTCATAAGAGACATGAATAGAGTTTTCTAATGGTATATAGAACATGTATACCGTATTTATTCTAATGGAAACAAGTCTCTATTTGAACCACAGTCCCTAGTAGTATAAACACACAAAATGGGAGAATAATAGAACCATTGTGAATCTATTAGGATAAATACGGTATCTATAAAATATTAATCCCAAAAGCACGCTAGGACGACAAGATTGTAACAACCATTGTAACAAACTTATACTATTATGTATCTTTCAATTCAGAACATAACTTGCTCCACATTAGTTTTTTAAAAATTTATTAGCCTATATCTGAGTAATATATCTTTGACAGAGATTAGTCTAAAAAATTACTATAATTATTTAGTTTTATATACCTATAGTTGCTAATTGCCAGTCTATAAAAGCTGCAAGTCTGTTTGGATTATTGTTATACCATAACAAATTATTGTTCCACAAATCCCCATGTGTAAGGATTTCAGAAATCCCTTGAAAATTAATTTTTATACTCAAAAATTTGTAATAAAGTTTGAAAAATATTATTGAACATAAAACAGGGTAGACTTATCCACAATTTTAGACATAAGAAGTACCGTACCATAATTATTTTCGCATTTTTCTTTCATCCATTTAACAAAATCTGGTTTCATAACTATATTTCCAATTATTTTAAAAGGTTCCACAATATCTTCTAAAAATACTTTAATTTAATTTTGAGAGATAATTTAATCAAAAACCATCAAGTTCCATAATTTGTTCAATCATTGCTGAACCAAATTCTTCACTACTCTGTCCCCACATTTCTTCTATTGTTACAAAATTTTTTTGCCATTTTTCCTTAATTTTAGGTAAAGACAAATAAGCATGTAAATGTGCCAAATATCTGACAACTTCCATTATCTACATATATTTATTTTTTAAAAATATTATAAAACAGGGTTCGGATTCGTTACTTATTTTGAGTACAGTACTTACGTAAATTCCCGACGTTTTTGGGCCGGGAAGTCCCAGTTGCTGAAATCAAAATTAAAATTTCATCATGAGTTTTCTAAATAATTCCCTAAATCGGGAATTTATTTTTTGTCATTAGGATCCTCGCTAAAAATCTCTAATACTAGGTTCTATATTCGAATAAAATAAAATCTCTACATTAAAAATTAATCATGTATTTCCTATAATAAAGCCCCATAGAGCTTTATTTTTCAATTATCCCAAAGCGGATTCTAATTCAAAGTGTGGTTATATTTCAGATTGGGACTCTATTATATGAATACGGTAAATTTAATTTACTTGTATTTCATTTAATCCTCTAGTTAAAGGTGTAATATGTGTATTCTCTGTCAAATCCTCCATCAAAATCACTCCTTGTGGCCCGAGCTTATTAAGCTTATCGTCTTCTTTATTTTCCTCTTCTCTACAATTTTTTGTAAAATAAATTTTTGGTATAGGCAAAGGGGGATTTTCAATATTATCCATAATTTTATAAAATACACATTCGTTTTGATGCATTCTTTTAAAGATTGCCATTGATTCCTAAAAAGTAGCAAAATATTTTTTGTATAGGACGACCCGGATTCAACTATTTTAAACATAGTTATAGCTCGGCGGAAACTTGACCTTAAAGTACTTTGGCCTGCTTCCTTTTTTACCAGTACTCATGGGTGCTCAGTAGTACCGACAGTGTCGAAAAAGTACCAAAAAATACCGAGTCATTTAGATTATCGCGGTAGTATTGAACTCTGCCTAATACTAGTTTTTAAACAGTTGAGCTTCGGCTCCCTCAAGTTCATACTCTTGCTCAGGCACTGGAGTTTAAAAATCTACGCTCCGGCTACTTATTTTTTTCGGAGGAGTCGGCTTTTTAGATAGCTCAAGGCTTCTTAGATATCTCAAGATACTCGGCACTGGCTGGCAGCACTAGAACGCTTCGGATATGGCTTTAATTATTGGGATAATTAATAGGTAAATATTTATAAAAAAGTTAACAGTTTCAAAAAATTTTTCTAAATTCTTTCTTTATCTTTGTTTGATTAACAAATTTAGAACATTTAGGATTTAAATCGTCCAACTAAAATGTTCAATTATTACCTTTATCGCAGGATTAACTTTCGGATCTGTTATTTGATCATTGATTTCTTTATTATTATCATTTTCTATTTCCAATTTTTCTCTAAATTTTAACATAACTTTTTCCAATCTTTCTTTTCCAAAAAAAATGTTCTAAAAGTATTTCAATCCTCTCATCAGCAAAAATTTTTAAAATTAAAGAAAATTTGTTTGGAAAATTTTTTGTTTTGTTGTTAATTCCATTTGTATATTTCATATTAATTATCAACCGAAATAATCTTGAAGTAAAGCCTTTGCCATCATTTATGTCTATTGCTTCGATCTTTAAAATTTTTTAATTTTATGTTTTTCCTTATTTATAATTTGTTTTTTTTTGTTAGACCAATAATTTTACCAGCCCTTCAAACTTGAAGGGTAGGGAGACTTTAAGGGTAGGGAGACTTAAGGGTAGGGAGACTTACAGATATATCGGGATTGCACGGAAAAAATAACCTCTTGCGTATCTATCAGTGATACTGCCGTCCCGATTCCTGAAACAGGGAATTCCCGACGTTTTTTAGTCGGCAAGATCCCTGATATAAAAAACTTCGGGAATTCCCAAATTCTGTGAATCGGGATTTGCAGATTGCGGCTGCGGAAATTTTTTCATTTACGTCCATCCCTTATCAGAACCGCAGGATCTCACCTTTATAATAGAGATTTTTTTATAAATGTTATTAAAAATTTAACCTAAAATTTTTTAATTTTTACCTTCTCAACGAATCCTCCATTTTCTAAAATACTTCTAAATTCAATACTTCCATTAGCCAATTCATTAATTATATAACCAAAAGTAATCCAATTGTATTCTAATATATATTTTAATTTTAATTTTGGGTTAATAAATTTATCAAAATTAGAATTATTTTTGTTTTCCTCTTCACAACAATTATTTGAAATAATTAAATTTGAAGGAATTGAATTATTTATTTGGATATTATTTGTCATTTTAATTTAGGAAGAACTATTTAATTTAATTAAAATTGTTAACTAATATTTTAAACTATTAAATTATTTATTAAATTAATAACTACGTAGATATCATATATCTGGAAAGAGCCTTTTTTCTTTATTAATTTTGGAGAAGGGTCTTTCCTTATTAATTTAAAAAAATCGGAAGACCGAGGCTATCTTTCGTGATAGATTTGTTAATTTAAATGAAAAATGCCTAACACTATCCATTTTGCTATCTCTGCTTATCAGGGCTATCGAAGGATATAAAGTTCATGTGAATTGGATCAAGCCCAAAAAAGTTATAGCCTATCTAAGTCGGCATGCACGTTTGTGGGCTTATAGCGGATAATTACCGAGAGTTATTATTTCGGCCAGTTCTGACAGGTATGCGTTTCGACCAAAACTCCAGCCCAACTTTTTTCCTTATTCCGTCTCATCCCTGATCCTTATGAATTAAAAATCAAAATATTTTAGCATAAAATTAGAAAGTATTTTTTATAATAAACTAAGACTATAGAGATTCTTAAAGTTTTATTTACAAAAATACTTATAAGAAAAGAAGAAATGAACGAAATCAATTTGTAATTGTAGTTTGTTAATATTTATTTTTAACGTTTAAATTAAGTGAGGAAAAATTTTTTGGTGCAATCACAAAGTACATGTTTGAAAAATATTAAGAAGCTTAGTACTATATTCAATTTTTATGTTAAAAATAAAATAGTTAAAGTTAAAGACTAGATAATTTTTTTAAATGATTAATATTAATAAATAACGAAATAAAAATTTTTAATTAAAGCTACACGAGACAAAAAAATAATTTGAAAAATAGATAAGAATTATAATAAATAACTTGATAAATAAATTGAGGGACTAACTATAAATGAAACAAAAAATTTAAGTACATATATGATAATATAAAAAATGAAGTATCTTGTTTTATGGAATAATCGCTTTGGTTGATGATTCAAGTTGCTCTAGATATTAACTTCTGATCACATAGCCAGTTGATCTTAGTTAAACCTAGAACGCAGTGTCAAAATATTATAAGAGTAGTAAATGGTCAGGCACCGTCGTTGCGCGGTAAAATTTCGCGCAACGAATTCAAGGTTTTGAGCGAGTCGGGAGGGGAGGGGTCCGAGAGCGGTTAGCCTGTGCCTAAAGGAGGGGTTGAGTGGACAACACAATTGAGGGAGAGGTTTTATGGGAGGGGTTGATTTAATGTGAGTTGTATGAGGTAAACCCTCTCTAATAAAACGGCACATTATTAATAATTAAAAAAATAATTAGTTTAATTAGTTAAATTTTAATAGTACGTCAGGGAACATTTAAACTGACTTTGAGCGGAGGTTAATAAGTAGGATTATATTAATGATATAATTTTATTATTAATTTGTAAAAATGGGCGGAGTTTCAATTAGATATCTTTTAAAAATGAAATCCGTTAAATTTGAGTAATCATTCTTAAATAATATATCAACCCCTCCCGACTCGCTCAAAACCTTTGAATTCGTTGCGCGAAATTTTACCGCGCAACGACGGTGCCTGACCATTTACTACTTATAAGCACCCCTAGTTTTTTGAATAAAAACATTGTTAAAGTTAAAATATCATAGTTTAAAATTTATATGACTTCTGATACACATTCAAAGAGAAAAAAGAATCATTGACAAATTAAATATGGATAGTTGAGAAAATAAATGAAATCTGCTTAAAACGACCGTCTGATAAATACCTAAAGCACCACTTATGTAGATTAAATTTAGGTATTCTTCAGCAGAATTCATATCTTTCAGCAGAATTCATCCTTATTTCATAAGGCTGAATTAATGCAAGGTTGGTTCGATTGGTTACTGCTTTTAGTATTTGTTAGGTAAAGGTCTGTTCTTAATAACCAGAAAGTTTTGAGTCGCTCCGATGCTCATTCGTTCGAGAATGGGAGAAAATCTCACACGAGGAGGTGCGAACTTTTACCAAAAATTCTTCCAAGCAACTTTTACTCTGTATCCAAACAAGGGGTGGGAACTTCGAAAATTCTTGATTATACTTGTTCCATGGTTATATTTCTATCATTTAAATTTCATTTGATCTCAATATCTTTAATGTGAATAAAGATATGCAATAAAATGTTTGTCCTAAACTTTTCTTGTCACCCTGTATACAAAAAATATTTATTTTACATTATCATTTTTATTTTTTAATATTTAAAACTTAAAATAATTTTTACCATTTTAAACATTTTTTTTTACTTTAAAATTGATTTTTAATCCTTCACCAAGTGGAGTTAGCAAACAATAATTTTCATTCCCTCAAACATTAACTACTCTCTAACTATAATTCCTCTTTTTCCTATTTTTTTACACACCACAATAAGGCTCTAACGAAAAATTTTCGCAATCAATTTTCATTTAATTTTTTTGTTAAAATGTCTAGTCTTTTTATTTTCGATTTTTTTTAATTCTAGTATATTTTCCAAGGTTAACTAAAACAATAATAATTTTTATTTTCTATTTCGAATTATCCAAAAAAGTGAAAAGCATACAAAAAAAATCTAGTTAATTCCTAAGGCTGAATATTTAGGGGGGCGACGTGATAAAATGGATAACCACAAGTCCGTTGTTTTAAAGATGTTTGTGTCAAGATATTGAACCAAAAATCTCGGTCCGGGTTCTTATATTTTCCTTTATGTTAAAAAATTTCATATTTCAGTCCATATTTCGGCTTTTAATCTATATTTAAGGCCATATTTTTCGATTGATATTCCATATAAATTCGATCTCTTTTACAAATAAATTTATCAATTCATTACGAGTTCGACGTTCGGCGCATTTTTTCCGAGCTTTTTCTTCAATTCGGTTCGTTTTCGAGTTTTTCAAGCATGAGTTTTATCGGGTCGACTCATACGAGTCTTTTCGAACAGAAAATTCTCCACTCGAATAGTTCTTGAGTTGATTCGAGCGACTGGTTATTATCTCATTTTTATAAACCTATTTCGATGGACATTTATTTTCTCATCTCCAATCTAAAATAATTTTATTTTAAAATGCAAATAATTCATACTTTAATGACAAAATCTGAAAGCGTTTTATCTGAGAACAAATTTTTAAGCAAATTTCGTTCCTCAATTTGATTATTTGCAATTTGACTTCTATTATTTACATATTTTTTGTTGTAAGGCACAAATTCAACTTCACAATATAGTAACACAGAACCTACAAACATGAAAATTAGTTAAGACGTCGTTAAAGACCGAAATAAATTTTTTGAAGATTTCTATTAGGGTAGCACAAAACCGTTTAGCTAAACGGTAAACGGTATACGATAAACGGGTTTTTTGCTAAAATTAAACGAAACGGTAAACGGGTCCCAGATAAACGGCATAAACGGTATACGGTCCTTCTAAACGCCGTTTAATTTTTCCTGGAATTAGTGAGTTAAAACGTGAATTTTTGCCTTCTGACACACTAAAATAAAAAAATTTCACCTGCGGCGCAAAAAATAGGAAGAAATCTGACTTAAGGAACTCCAAAATTCTCAAAATTTTCGCCTGCGGCGCTGAAAATGAAGAAATCTGACTTAAGGAAGAAATCTGACTAAAGGATGAAATCTGACCTTTAAATCCTCTCAATCCTTTTAAATCCTATTACATCACCATAATCCTTAGATATAATAATCCTCTGATCTCTTAATCCTCTGAACCCCTTTAATAACTCAAAATCTACCGATATCCCACAACAATTCTTTGATATATATTCAAATCCTCCAAATATCCAAAACCACTGATATCACTCTTAATCACCAGACCTCTAAATCCATCGATATGATGAATTTATAGTTGAATTATAATTTTTATAAAGCGGAATGATCATAATTAATGATTTTTCATTGTTTTTTTTTTGAATTATGAATTGATTTTAAAAAATTTAAAAAATAAACTGTAAATGGCCGTTTAAACGGGTTTGTAAAAATAAACGAAACGGTATACGGGTCTCAGATAAACGGTATACGATTTTTTCAAAATTAAACGGTTTTGTGCTACCCTAATTTCTATCAACCTTTTGTCTTATTTTCTCATTTTTTTTATTTTACTTCTATTTTTAATAATATGGAAAATATTTAAATATTTCACCATCAGTATGACAAATATTCTGTATGTTAATTTGAAATTTCTCAGATTCGGTTTTATTTTCAAAATTCTTTGAATAATTTCTAAAAAGCAAAACAAATTAAAGGCCTAAATACCATATTTTTCCCAATATAAGCGCACGCCCCATTAGAAGCGCAGTCTACGAGGAGGTTAAAAATAGAAGCGCATGCGCTTCTATTCGGAAAAATACGGTAATTGGTATGACTTACGAACAAATATTTACACGTTTCCCCTCAATATTATGTGCATAAATACTATATTTAGCATACAAGCTAAATTTTGTCTCTTGTAATCCTATTTGGGTGAGCGAAACATAAGTAGTAATATTTTGACTTCCGTACATTCCGTTGTTACATATGTTTTTTGGGTAAACGCGTAATTGCCAAACGATTAAAGGGAATTTTGGATCGTAAAATTTCTTGCCTGCATTTAATTTTAAAACAAAAAAATTGTTTAAAAACATACTGATTAGAACTTGTTCAGACCCCAAGAATTCCTTGCGTAAATTCAAATCAAATATTTTCCATTCAATTTTACATTTAATTAAATCAACCTGAGAAGAAAGGTTATTACTAGGGTTGTTGGCGACCGGTTTTAAAACCGGTATTTTTGAGATTTTTTGCCAAAAATTTTCCTTTATTAGGAAATTTTAAAAACCGAAAACCGGAAATTTGTGAGAATGAGTGATTTTATTAAAAATTCCCCAAAAATAAAACCGGTATTTGCTTAAAACTCATAACCGAAAACCGAGTTTCTAAATTTAGATTAACCGAAAATCGGGATTACAGGTTAATAACCGGTCGCCAACAACCCTAGTTATTACTATGAAAAATTAAATTTACCTTATCAGAAACATCGAAAAACATTGAAATTTTAGGAGCATTAGTAAAATTTCAAAAGGGTTTTGGTAGGAAATTTATATAGGTACTAAAAATTATTAAACAGTAAATAGTTTTGCAAACGAAAAGGTGAGCGTTATCAGGTTAGATTTACAATTTTTGATATTTTTCCGTTATATGTAAGCCCGCAAATCTTTTTTTATTTTCCTATTATAAAAATCGCAAATGATCAATATTGAATAATGATAAATAATTAAATAAACTAAAAAATCATTCAATATGAGAAAGGTGTCATTTATTATTTTTGCTACTTTCGTTATTATTTTTTAAATTTGTGACTGATTTTCTTGTTCCACAGTGAAAATAATAAATACTAATTAAATAATCTGTTTTTTCTAATATCTTTTGCATATCTGTAAATAATTAAATTAAAAATTGCCTTGACATTTATCATATAATTAACAGTTACATATCTTAAAATAATTTGGAAATTTTATTATTTTCTTGATCTTTAAATATTAAAATTTAGATTATTAGCACACTGCAAACCAATAACATAAAAAAATTCACTAAAATTATTGAAATTTTAAACGATTAAAAGGCTGGAAATTAATTCAGTTATTTCAATTCCAGTAATAACTTAGATTCTAAAATAGTATCAATTATAACTTGTTTAAGTTTTATATTTTTTAAATTTAAGCGCCGGATGGATTATCAAATTTTTTAGAGATTCTCCCGATTTAAAACATTTATTTGGTTTTATTTGTCTGGGTTTTTCGTTAAAAACAAATAGAATTACTATGAAATTATCAAAATTTTGTGACTTTTATTTTCTGTGTCAACATTATGAATGCATTTTATTTGTTGTGGAATGGAGTATATTTTGGGTAATATTAATTCTTTATAAATTACGATAAAAGATTCATCATTTTAAAAGTATGGTTTAATTCCAAAAACGGCCAAGTAATTGAAGTAAAAAAGAAAAGTTGACAAAAATTTACAAACTTTGTAAGTAGTTACCCCACCCCAAATCGCTCCAAATCGCTCCCATCCCAAATCGCTCCTACCCCAAATTGTCCAATCCCAAATCGCTCCTTAAATTATTGAAACCAAATCGCTCTCAAATTTTAAGTAATAATTAAAACCAAATCCCTGCAATTAATTAATTAACTATTTAAAACCAAATCGTTACTATTAATTTTAAAACCAAATCGCTCCCTCTTTCTTAAAACCAAATCTTGCGCAATACATAATTAAACCCAAATCGCTCCTCCTATTTGCATATAATATAAATCCAAAAATCAATTATTTACAATACAAAAAATATTTAAAAATTTACAACTACGTTTATGTAAACAGAAAACTAATAAACAGCCACGTATTTGTATTTTGATAAAAAAAATATAAAAAATCATAAAAGTTTTTAACCTATGCAAATTAAAATTTTTTGATAGGTAAACAAAAAGTGCAAATTATGAAAAATAGAGTTTAACCATTTTATTGCCGCGTATACATCTACTAAAAATTTACACAAATATTTTACTAAATATTATTCTAAAAATTAAAATTTTCTGATAAATATTTTTATATTTAAATTTATTCGTGCTGTTGATGTTGTATAATTCGTGCTGTTGAAAAATTATTTGAATGGGATATGGAAGAAAATTGTAAAGGAATGTGCCCAGACCGAAGCAAATTGTATTGTGATACCTACCAGTCTTACGTTGGTCATATTTTATTATTTATATAAAAATTAAACTGCAAAATTATTTTTAATATTTCTCATATTTTTCGTACAAGCTTAAATTAAATCTCTCTGTTTTGATAGTAATAATTAAACCAGATCACCTGTCTAAAATTATTAAATAAACAAATCTAGTAAAATATATTAAAAATATCTTTTTTTATTTTCCTAAAAATATATTTAAAATTAGTTTATTGTTCAGAGATACACCCTATATAAACACCCAGATTTTGTAGATTATAGTCATTCAAAATAAATACACAAAAATTATTAAGTAATGGAAAAGCTTATCCCTATTGTTTCTTTTTCTGCTACTATTAATGGATTAACTATTTCATCCCCAAAATTAAACACACCGCGCTTTGTTCCTTTCGACATTTCTGGAAAATGTACAACGTGTCGTTCTGATGACGTGGAAATTGATTATGTCATAACTGTGAAAGGAATCTATATTATCAGTAATAGACTTAAGAAAGAAAAATTTGTTTCATTTGATGTAATCGAGAGCTTTGGCGAAACGAACGTTTTTCGTTTTAAAACGCGAAGGAAAGTTTTTAGTATAAAAGAAAAGAACGAAAAAATCCTATCACAATCAATCAACGATGATTTTTTCAATATTCAAACCACTAAAGGAAATGCTCTACTCCGATCTCAATCAATCATCGATGAATTTATAGAAGTTCCAGCTGAGAAGAAGTTGAAATTAGAAAATATTGAAATTGAAGATAGAAAAGTGAACGAAAATATAGAAGAAACTATAAAATAAAAAAAACATAAATTATTAACAAGTAATTATTTTGATTTCTTTAATTTAATTTGAATAAAAAATGTTAAACCAAGACCAAATATATCAAACGTATTCGAAAAATGACCTGAAGCTAAAACTCCCTTTTGGCTGTATTGTAAGTGGACCCAGTTCAAGTGGAAAAAGCACTTTTCTAAGAAACTTGGTTATTAATGCAAAAGAAATGATTGATCCCGCACCAAAATCAATACTCTATTGTTATGGCGAATTTAATTCACTAATACCCGAACTTCAAAGAGCAGGTGTATCTGTATATTCAGGAGTGCCACCAGAAGATCTAATAAGAAAACAAGGAAAACCATCAATGATAATTCTAGATGATCTTTTATACTCAATTGACGAAAAATATCTTTCCGAACTATTCACAAAAAAATCCCACCACCTTGACTTTGGAATTGTTTTTGTAACACAAAATCTATTCGAAAGGAAAATTAGAGTTGCTCGTCAAAATGCAATGTATATAGTCCTAACAAAAGCTCCTAATAGCGCTTTATCAGTTCGAAATCTTGGTGTACAATTATTTCCAGGAAAATTGTCTTATTTTCTTGATGCATATAGACAGGCAACACATGACAACTATTCATATCTTTTCATAGATCTCCACCCCTCATCAGACATATCACTCCGACTTAGAACAAATATATTTAATACATCACTTGAAAATAAACAGATCGGAGATCAATTTGAAACAACAATATTTTTACCAAAAAATCATTGAAAAATGATAAGTCAAATTGTAAAAAATAATTATCAATTTCTTAAATCATTATCAAAAACCCGCTCATTAAGCAAGAGAAAACGTATTTTAAGATTAGCAACAATAGAACAATTACTTTCAATTGCTGAAATTTGTCTAAATATAGTGAAAAATAGATTTAAACTAACTAAACGCCAAAAGTGTAAATTAATTCCATTTGCAAATTTTGTTCGCCGTATAAGTCGAGTTAGAACAGAAAACGGAGCAAGAAGACTTGTACAAAAAGGAAACGGTCTCCCGCTTGGATTATTTCCTGCATTACTTACACCAATAATTTTAGAGATTGCAAAAAATTTGTCATCGAAATTTACTTAAATATGGCAAATAAATTTATACTCATACCTGAAGATATATATAGAGGACTATTAACACAAACAACTATCGATACGGGAAATATCAATTTGGATCATACACGAAATAATCTAGAAAATATCAAGAGAAAAAATGTCAACACTGAAGTTAAGAATATAAACTATAATCAAGAGTTGCGTAGATACCTACACATGCTAAAAGATCAAGCTCGTACACCAATAGGTGTTGCAGTACGTGAATTAAACAATCCTGCACTTGATCAAATAAAACAGTTACTACCCCAGCTTTCTCATGTTCAAAATGCTCAAAATGACAGTGCAAAAGATTTGGGTTATACGAATAAGATAGCAGAAATTCGAGAAATGGAAGAGGAGACAACTAATGATTCGATGCATACAGCAGACGATGGGACTCCGAAGACATCACTGAGACCAAAATCTAAATTGAATGAAAGGGTAGCAATGATTTATAATTTAATACAGAACAATAATGAGAAATATAATATAAATAAAGATGGTAAAATTCTCAATGAACAAGGAACAAGAGAGATTATTGGAAGTAATGTTCAAAAGTCATTAAATTGCATAATACGATCCAACCTTCCGGGTTATAGATTTAAAGAAGTTTCACCGCCAGGTACTACAATTTTAGAAAAAAAGTTGCAAAACGACCCGTCACTCTGGTCTCTAGTTGAAAACTCCATTACACCTAAAAGAATACATAATACTCAACATAAAGCTACACTTAAAGATAAACTCAGTCAAATTAGAAAATCAAAACACAAGTCGCAACAACTTCCATCTTCATTAGATGAAGGATGGAGACTCCCAGAAGTGTGGAAATGATTTTAGATAACCTATATAATGATCCAGCAAACCCTGCAGGTTTTGCTGGTGTTGAACAATTATGGATAGAGGCAAAAAAGAAAGATAAAAATATTAGTAAAAGAGATGTTATTGCATATTTAGAAGGGCATAGAACATACACGATTCATCGTCCCCGTCGTGTTCATTTTAAAAGATCAAAAACCATACCTGCAGGATATATGACAGATGTTCAATGTGATTTGGCAGATTTTCAAAAACTATCTCGACAAAATCGAGGCTATAATTACGCGCTTATTGCAATAGATGTACTGAGCAAACGAGTATTTGCTGAACCTGTAAAAAGTAAAAAATCCAAGGATATGATTAACGCATTCGAAAATATTTTACAAAGTATGGAAATGTATCCTCACAGAATATTTAGCGACAAAGGTACTGAGTTTACCAGCAAAGATATGATGGAATTTTTCAAGAGGAATGATATTGAAAAATATACGCCCAATGCTTCAACAGTAAAAGCATCTCTTGCTGAACGATGTATTAGAAATATTAAACAACGACTTTATCGTTATATGAGCGAAAAGCATACTTTAAAATGGACAGAAGTTCTACCCAAGATTGTTGATGCAATAAATCACTCAAAAAGCCGAGCAATCGGAGGTCTGAAGCCTGTAGATATCAGCTTTAAAAATGCACGGAAAATAAGAAAAAGAATCTATGGAGAGATAGGAACAAACCCAAATATCAAAAAACCCCGGTTTAAAAAAGATGATTATGTTCGAATGAGTCGCAACAAAAATGTTTTTGAAAAAGGATATCTTCCAAACTACTCAGATGAAATTTTTCAAGTTGATTTGGTTAAGAATAAAGCAACGCCAAACAGATATCGCGTAAAAGATGACAATGGAGAAAAATTTAAAGGCTATTTCTATCCAGAGGAACTAACAAAAGTTAGAAAAGATGAAAATACAAGTTATAGAATTGAGAAGATTATACGTAACAGAAAGAATAAAGATGGAAAGAAAGAATATCTTGTAAAATTTTTTGATTACCCTAACCCAGTATGGATTAATGAATCACAATTTGTATAATATCATTTAACATTTATATCACTTAATAAATAAAAATTTTATATTATTAAAATGGACAACACGTTTTTTGTTGTATTGCCTAGTAATGTCAGTGATTATCCTGATAATAAACCTAATAAATTCCGTTCTCATCTTGCAAGACCCATTCAATTTCAAGGGGGAAATTGGGTCTGTGGTCTCTACAGTATTCAATATCCCCAGTCTTGGGCAGCTACTATTGGCACAGATGAAAAACAATGGATTGATATTTATTATAAGAATGTGAAAGACCCAAAAAGGGTTGGTATTCCCAAGACAACACAAATAACAGCAAAAGGTCTAAGTATTTTCCTTAAACTTGTATTATCAAATAAGAATAAATCTCGTAAAAGGCGTGAAATATTTAACGATTTGTCAGAAGACGAGTTAATTATTGACTCTAATATAAATGTTTTTAGCATCTTATCTAATAAAAGGAGTAAAAGGAATGTTCGTGGAAGAAAACTGGATGCTGATGGAAGAGAATTTAACCCTCAAGTACAAACCCATCAGAAATCTATAGACACATTTTTTGAGCAATTCCCTCACAACTATTGGGATAGTATTCGAGATTTTGAGGATGAATTAGAACAACATATCTTAAATATAGAGAAAGTAACGAAAGAATATAATAATGAAAACGATCCAATAAGAAAAGCAGATTTAAAAGAAGAGCTGGATCATTTGAACTCACTTTCTGAAGGAAAAATGGTATTTATTCGTCTTCTAAGAGAAGAAGCAGATAGGAGAGATGAAATAGATGAAAGTCAAAAAGCAAATGAATTTTTACAAAGGCATCCGGACGATTATCATGAACAATTAGTAATAAGAACAATTGATTTGGTTAAAAGATATTTAGACTTGGAAAAGAAAATTAAAGATAGACAGAATGAGGAAGATGGAAATGTTCGATTAACCTACGAAATTCAGAGTCTTGTTTTTTCTATAAAACGCATGCGAAAAAATTTAGATGTAATAGAAGCAGCAGTAATAGATAAAGATTTAAAAATTAGTAGAGAAGAATTTCATCAAAAAAATTCAAAGACACATGCTGAATTCGTACAAAAATTCTTTGAAGACAACCCACATGATTATTGGAATAAACTTTATAAAAATTTAAATGAACTTCATGAATTGCATAAAAATATTCGTGCAAAGAGAGAAGCGCAGTT